AGCTACCCATAATTCATTAAAAAAAAAAAAAAAAAAAAACAATATCATAAACGTGTGAATATATTTTTAAATCAAATGACAAATAAAATAAAATATTATTTTACTCTTTATTTCAATTTTTATTTATTTGGGTCGTTTTTATATTTTTAAAATATTCATTTTGATCTCTGCACTTTTAAAATTTATTTATTTTGGTCGTTTGTACTCTTAAAACGTTCATTTTTATCTCTATATTTTTAAATTTTATTTATTTGGGTCGTTTTGTACTTTCAAAATGTTTGTATTAAAATAAAACTTAAATATAAAATAAATTTTAGGTTAAATTATAATATATATATATATATATATATATATATGGTGCATTTGTAAATTATAAAAATAAAGAGGATAATGCTATTTTGAAATTTCATGGATATTTTGTGAAAATATTTTTTATTTAAATTTCTTTTTAAAAATTGATAGGTATTAATGAAAGTTTTTAAAGTTTAATAGCATTTATGAAATAAAATATAAATAATTTTCATGGATAAGTGTATTTAAAAAAGAAAAAAGAAAAAAAAATTAATATTGATATTTTTATTAATTTAACTCGTATTTTTTATAATTTAAAATAAAAATTTCAATTTCACCCCAATCTTTTAAATTATTGCATGAAAGACCTGTAAAAAACTTTAATTATGAAAAAGGGAAAAAAAATAAATTATACAAAATTCTCAATTTCAATTCTAACCTTTGAAAATATTCAATTACTCTTAATTTTAAAATTTTATTGGGCATTTTAGTAAATACCACGAAGTAGAAGGACTTGTATAAAAAAATAAAAAAAAATATTAAAAATCAATTCTCTCTCTTTTGAACACTAATTATTTTATGAATTTTCTCTCATTATTATGATGAAATACTGATTCTTACATGTTATTATAAATATAATCATTGACCATTCCAAGTTCTTCCTATTTATTAACTGTTTTTATTTATATTTTTTTAAATATTGAACACGAATATATATATATATATATATATATATATATATATACACTCGTAGTCAAGTCATTTGACTCGACTTTGCCTGTACTTGAAGCTAAGGTCCATCAATGCAACGTCGCATTTCATCTTGTCATCTTGGTTCCCAATTAACATAACCCTCATGTCTTGACACCATCTCAAGTCACTGGGTGTTGTCGGTCATCATCGTAGCTTACTCAGTCATGTCATTGAAAATGGGCTCACGTGTCGTTCATAACGTCGGGACTTCCTGAACATTCATCCATCTGGGTTCTTATTGAGCCATTGACCCTCCTGTGCCCCATTTACAAATACAGTATCAGATAGCAGGTGCAAAATCCAATCTCTGACACGCGAGTAGGGGTGCAATACCAACACACTCATGGGGTTTGGTACTGTCCTCGAAAAACGCATTTTAAAGAAAGTCTCTTGAGACTCTCATCTCGAAATGTTTGCTTCCACTGTGACACACGCATGTGCCATAAAATAGGTAGCTTATGCTAAAATGTTAATATTATATATTAATTCAATGTTAATATGTATTTGGTTAAATAATTATTGTATTAATTAAAAAAATAAATATGAAGAAATATTATTTTAGAAAATCGGGTCTATAGTCCATTCCATAGTCAGTTACCTTAACGACTCGTTTGATTGCAGATATTTTTTCTTCATATAGAAATAAAAAAATTCTGTTAAATTGGTTCGAATTATTCAAATTTTAAATTAATTATAAATTATTTTTAAGAGTCGTGGGAGTATAAAAAATAATAAATAAATAAATATATGTATATGTATTTTTTAAAATTAACAGTAACCCAATAAGATAACAACTCAATCAAAACTGTATGGGTTAAGATTGGATTGATCAGATTTTTCAGGTGATCGGGTTTTTTTGAACACCCACGAAACATAATATTCCCGTCTTACTTTTAACTTTATCCTAATAAAATAATATACACAACTATCGAAGCATATTTTTTTTACCATCTCGTTCAAAGTTTTAAAAATTATGTTAGAAACAAAGATATCAAAATTCAACGAAAATTCCGATGAAACAGGTTACGTCGTTGACAGAAATGATAAAAATTCTTCTAGAAACTAAATTCAATCCCGAACTCAAACTCAAATACAAGTCTTTGGTCAAGTCAACCATTAGCTAAAAAGTGTAATATTTACTTTTTAAAGGTTTTGAAGTTTTGTATTTGGAAGGTTTGTTTTGTTTCTAATTAGGTTTTGAATGGAATATTTAGGAACGTCACACTACTTTTTCATATCCCTACAAATTTGAATATGTCAATATTTAATATTATGAAAAGAAAATTATGGTTATCCCGAACCGAAGGTACGTGCGAAGAAAAATGAGATTAACTGAGACGAAACTAGTAGAAAATAACGTGTGACGTGAAAAAGTCGAGTAAGAAGATATTTACAAGAAAAAAGAAATTTTTTTAAGGTTAAGTTAATAACGTAGCTCGTGAACTTTGAGTATTTTTTACCATTTACGGAATTAGCATGTTTTCTTTCTTTTCTCTCCTACTAGTTGTTCTCAAAATTATGATACAGAGAGATCTCACGTTGGTTAGAGAATGGGAACGAAACACTTCTTATATAAGAGTGTGAAAACCTGTAACAGCCTAAGCTCACGACTAGTAGATATTGTTCGTTTTAGTCTATTACGTATCGTCGTCAACCTCATAGTTTTAAAACACGTCTACTTAGGGAAAGGTTTCCACACATTTATAAGGAATATTTTGTTTCTTTCTCTAATCGATGTGAGATCTCACAATCCATTATCCTTGGAACCCAGTGTCCTTACTGACAAACAGCTTGGTATCTAGCTATGATACCATAGCCTAAGCCTATGTTAGTAGATACGTAATAGGCCAAATCGAATAATATTTGTTAGCGGTGCGGTTGAGCTATTGCAAACCCTCTCCCTAACAAACGTGTTTTAAAAATGTAAAGTTGATGACGAATACCTAACGAATTAAAGTAGAAAATATCTATTAGCAGTAGTAACGGACGGTTACACATTTGAAAGGTCACGTCTTTTGCAACCGTGGATAAATGAAGGCGGCCGCTATTTTATTTTGAAAAAGCAGAGTGCCAAATGCTGACTTTGTTTCAGCTGATTAAATGAAAACCCAAATATTCAAAACTAAAGAAATTCTGTCCCATCTTCCTCAAATCACTTTCATTCCACTCACTATCCATTTTAACTTACACGTCAAAATTCAAATCTATCGGTTCGTATAAAATTAACTTACGAAAAAAAATGTTTACGAAACACGTGCTAACGTGTAGTATAAATCTAAGTAGTATTTTTAATTGAATTATACTCGACATATGTTAGTTTATTTTTGTGACACGCGAGTAAAGAATGAATACATGAATGAATCGAGACCATATTCGAATAAGAACAATTTCGAAAACAGGAGGACCGAACAAATTTGAAAATGAAAATTATGATTTATACCTGCAAATCACACTTTTTAGTAGAAACTTCATGATTAAATTTCAAATATCGAGCATATATTGTTTTAGAAATTTGAATTTTCAAGTATCAAATACTTTTATTGAACAGATTTGAATGATTCTAATAATTTTTTTCAACAATTTTTTTTAGAGAATTTGTCTTTTCAAATGTTTTAAAAGAGATACAACCAATTTCATGAATGGTTCAAAAAAAAAAAAAAAAGTTTTGAATATATTTTTCAACCTTTTCAACTCCATTTATTTATAATGAATTTCATATAGAATTTTAATGATAGAATATAACTTTTAACCTAATTTCGTATTTTGAACCTAAACAAAAAATAATAATATAAACTGAGCAAGGCAGGACGAAAATGTGACAAAGTCGGGACGAGGAATAAGTCTTTAACATCGTTTAGACAGCCCAAGTTTACTGTTAGCCAATATTGTCATTTTTAGACTTCTTTCGAGCTTTTCCTTAAGGTTTTAAAACACATCGACTAAGAAGAAGTTTTCACACCTTTAGAAAGAATGTTTCATTCCCTTTTTCAACGGATGCGAGATCTCGATCTCACAACCGTGACTTTACAGATTAAGTAAATGTCTAACTATATTGTCGTAGTTGTTCACTAAATTTCAAAGTAAATGTCTTTTCTTCTTTCCCGACACAATGAGACATACAACTTAGAAAGCGTAGTGTTATCTATCATAATGTGAATGTCCTAAAAGTCTTCTTTCTTTCCTTCCCAAAGAAGGTATTGAAATCATACACTTAGTCTTAACCACAACATTCAATACCATTTTAGACCTGTTCTTGAAAACCAAGGGTTTTCTCCATCAATGCTCAATCAAAATATAGCTTGAAACTACTTGTTTTTATACCAAAAAGGACACTTCATTACTTATGAACCAAATTTTCCTTGGCTTCATTGCATTCACATTTATCTTTTTCTAAAGTCTTTTAACCAAAAGAATTTTGGTCAATATGAGAGGAAAAGGAACTGAGGATTCATAAGCATTTTCTTCGTAAGGAAAGAAAAGTTCAAGTAATTCATTAATGAGAGAGACTTACGGTAACAGTTTAAGTCCACCGCTAGCAGATATTTGTTTGTTTTAGCTCGTTATGTGTCATCGTCAGCCTCATGATTTTAAATCGCATTTACTGTAGAGAACTTTTTACATTCTTATAAGGAATGTTTGTTCCCCTCTCCAATCCATGTGGGATCTCACACTTACCTACAAAGAAAGGAATGAAAGTATTAGGATTTGAATGGTCAAAAGTAGCCAGTAAAACTTTCCTTCCAATCTCAATCCTCTTCTACATAACTATAGTCCAAAACCTAAATGGAAACAAACATTTTAACGTTTTATCTTCGGATGTAGGACGAATGTCATGGAAAAACAAATGTACAAAATGTATTTCGATAATGTTTAGAATTTTTTGTTAGATATATTCTCCCTCGTAGGGAAAGTGTGAGACATAAGTGGAAGCTCGTTCAGATTGAAACGACCTATTTGAAAAATTAACTTAATCGTGACTTTACATTTTTCATATCATAAAATCAAATCTTAGATCTAGCTATTTACGTCTTCGGATCTAAATATTTAAAGAAATTGTTAAAGTTGATCTAACATGCTCACGATGAAAAGTAATAGATCTTCTATAATCTCAATAATGGATAATAGATTATAAAAATGATTAACTACTGCTAGCAAATATTGTTCACTTTAGCCCATTATATTAGTCTCATGGTTTTAAAATACGCCTGTTAGGTAAAGGTTTCTGAACCCTTATAAGGGGTGCTTCGTTCCCCTCTCCAACCGATGTGAGACCTCACAATCCACCCTTTGGGGCCTATCGTCTTTCCTAGAACACCACCTGATGTCTAGCTCTGATACCATTTGTAACAGTCTAAGCCCACCACTAGCAGATATTGTCCGCTTCATCTTGTTACGTATTGCCGTCAACCTCGTAGTTTTAAAACATGTCTGTTGGGAAAAAAAAATTCCCCACTCTTGTAAGAGATATTTCATTCTCCTCTCCAACCATTGTAAGACCTTACAACTTGTCTTCAAAGATGAGAAAAGAAGTTCTTATAAGTAACCCATTATTGAATAGGACTCCATAATGGTATATAACTATCAATTCTTTTAACTATTTTGTAACACCTTCATGTCCTCCAAATTACTTTGAATGTAGTTTCGATTTATTTATGCATCCTCCTTCACTAAACATTACATTTACGAATCCGACATCGGAAAGAGAAGCAATGTCAAAAGACAATTGTCATTATAGTACTTAATTTGAAAATTTAAACAACTTGCAATAACTATTGTTACCAAATAGCCTAGAGTCTCACTCCTTGAAGAATAAATGAATTCTTTCATCCTTAAGCTTCCTTCTATTCTGAAAGAAAACTAAAGCTTCCATGATATGAAACTTCATCCAGGACCGGAGTAATAACCTATTTATCCTTTATTGTAAGAAAAATAACATTTTTTTTAGGAATGTGACCAAATCTATGTTGACAAGATAAGAAGATTCATAGTATATAAGTAAAGACACAAATATCTCCAATAGCATGAAACCTTTTCTCAAGGGTTTATTGTTCAAAGTGGACAATGTCATACCATTGTGGAGATATTTTGAAGGTCGTTCTTAACAATTGGTATTAAAGTTATACCCTTGACATAGCCAAGGTAAAATAAATACCCTAGAGTTCGAAACAAAGAAGCTATAAGTCTCTTAATGGCACAACCATAGTTAGTCATAGTGAATCTGTGGTTGAGTTTATCAAACAAACAGGTAAGCTTCGTTGAGAAATGATAGAATAATAACCAACGTATCATATTAACTAAATACGAGAAGATTCATGGTATGTAAGTCAAGTTAATTATTTTCAATGATATGAAACTAACATTATGACGAAAAAATGTCGTTAGGAATAACTAGTAAATATATCACTCATTTTCATTGGATCTGGTCTGACAGGCAAATGTACAAAGTCAAGTAATCAAGTTGTACAGACCAATGAATCCAAAAACAGAATAGTTGCAGCCACAAGAATGAGGTTTGATGTTTTCTTTAATCACACACAATGGATGGGTAATGGAGTAAGGCAAAGAGAGCAAAAAATGAAGGAAACGAAGAAGGTTATCATTTAACAGTGTGGCCGTGGTTGATTTGTCTTCATATGGTTATTCTTCAGATAATTATGGGGACAGTTTATCCGTTTGTTTAAGAAAAAGTAAAAAGATACTAACTTGGATCATCATCTCCCCAAGCTTCATCTCTCAATTTTTGTCTTGACACAATGCGATTCCTCCTGTCTTCTTCCTGTTTTCTTAGTTCTTTGGACCCGAAGCCAGTGGTGGAAGCCGGCAACTTCAATCCCATTCCTTGAGCAATCAGCCGTTGGGCAGTTCTAGCCGATGTCTTTGGCCTCTGCTTTGGAGGCTCCAGATCTGACATTAACAAAATAAACCAAAAGGGAAAAGGCAGCTCATTCAACTTCATCAAATAACTTTTAGTGGAGATTTCTTGAAAGAAATAGAATGTGAGATCCCACATTGGGTGGGGCGTGGATGCTAGGCTCCGAAGGGGTGGATTGTGAGATCCCACATCGGTTGGGAGGAGAACGAAGCATTCTTTATAAGGGTGAGAAAATCTCTCCCAAGCAGACACGATATAAAAATATTGAGAGGAAGGGAAAGCCTAAAGAAGACAATTTCTGCTAATGGTGAGTTTAGGCTGCTACATAAAACTTTTTGCAGTCGTAATGATGGATGATAAGGATTTTTGGGATTTCATAAGCTTTTTGGCTTCTTTCTTTAAGAGTGTTAACTTGGCATCCCCAGTTTTAATGAGAAAATAGTTTTCTATCCAAAGAAATCTTATTTTTCCTACGTTGTGCCTTAACAAGCCACAAAAATACTCGATGACAAAACACAACTCTATTATCAAAAAACGAAATGATGTCAATAAAGAGACAAAGAGAAAGGTCTTATCAATACTAACAAACTCAAGAAGAAGCTCATACCTCTCGGTGGAATTGAGCTCAATAGAGTATCATTTTCATCAAGTAGGCGTATAGTGAAAGGGCATCTAACATGATTGAGAACTTCAAGTGCTGCATTAGAAAATTAAGGTAGTTATGAAAAGAACTTAATTTTAATACATAAAGCTACTTCATCAACATTATAATGTCAACGATTGAGAAATAATGGTACGATGCAAGATAATGATTCAACATAAATACGAATATTTCGGCATTTGATGGGAGACATCACATGGAGGAAGTATATAATCTCCACAAAAGAACCCAAGAAACAACTAGGACTATAATCAAGGATTAATTTAGGATAACTTTTGTAAGGGTAAAAAGTGTTTTAGGGCATTAAAAGAACTTCTAAAAAATGTCCATAGTGTTTGATTAGCTAATCAAAAGTGATTTTAGAATTTTAAAAGCATTACAAGTGTTTTTAGAAGCAGCACTTGATTCTCGGCTCTTCCAAAAGTGTTCAGAGTGTTTCCACTTAAAAGCACTTTTTTTCAAAAGTTATCCCGAACTGCCATAGGCCAAATAAGAAAGTAATATACAGAAAACAGGATGGTAGTAACTAGTAACCGACATAACAAAAGTAAGTACAGGATCAAATATCTACCGACCTAGCCACTTCTTGAGTCGCCATCTACAGGACATGAAACGAGATAGAAAATAGAAATTTTTACGTAACAAAAGGTTTGACAAGATGAGATAAGAAGTCCAATACCAAATGAGAAAAACTGCCGAAAATCCTACAAGATTTCCCAAAAATGAAAATCTAGTTTTACATGACTTACCAGTTGATGGTGTCGGAAATACTGCAAGTGCAACCGTATCATTGACCCAGCGAATGACAACTCCAGAATTCTTGAAATTTCCAAGTAGCCTTTCAAGATCTATTGTTTTGGTACTCGGTGGAAAGTCAGCTAGGACAAGAACATGTTGAGTACCATATTGTGCTGGATTCACACAATGAATTTTTTTTTTAAAAAAAAAGCTTAGCTCTTGGGTGAAAATTATGACTTAATGTGCACAAACATCAATAAATAACTGCTTAGAAGCCCAAAATAATGGCAGTATTATTATGTCAATTATCAAACTTGAACAAATATTCAAAAAAAAAAAAAAAATCTAATGGCCAATTTGAATTGTTCCAAAGAACTTAGGATTTAAATTCTAAGGTTCTGAAACTTAAAAGACCAAAGGAAAATATTGATGAAACTTCAGGGACTGAGAAAGTATTTATCCTTTTTAGGTAAATACCTTGTTCCTCTATTCTTCCATAAACTGAAGGCCTAACCAGAGCTCTCATACAATGACTACGTAACTTCGAATTTCACCAGTGATCTAGAAAACAATCAAAGAATTTTCATCTATCATATTTGGAAATTATGTGAAGACTTACCACTTTTGAGCTCCTTACGCCCCACCTCCAACTCATGAGAAGCATCTTCGTCCTTATGTGAAGACTTACCACTTTTTAGCTCCTTACGCCCCACCTCCAACTCATGAGAAGCATCTTCGTCCTTTGTATCATTGGTAGTTGAAGAATCAGATAGCCTATCACTATATAATTCATGTTTCTTATATGAAAATGTTCCCCTCCCACGCCGTCTAGTGGTTTTGTCTGTTGTCTCTCTGATTGTGGTTTGGTCTGTTGTCTCTCTTATTGAAATTTCAGGCTTATCAGGTTCACATTGCAAGGAGAGTAATTCATTTGGTGGGCGATCTGCAATAGCTTCCCAATCTGTAAATTGTAACCACCACTTGTGTTAAATAACATCATTATTGTTCTAATTATATTGCACCTATTTTCTATCACAAGCATCATAAAAAGCAAGAAAATTATTTGCCGGAGAAGCATAAGTGGCTATGCAAAAAAAAAAAAAAACAAAATCGGTACAATGTTTGACTGAAATGTATGACACAATTTCCTTTACTAATTAGTATGTAGCTTGACATAAGGATGATACGGTTCATTTATTTCTCAGGACTCATTGAATTTAACTATCTACCCAACTTTTTCTTATTCCTTCATTATTGTTCGATCCACAGCATAATATCAATATTCAACAACTTGATCTGCAGTCAATTAAAAGCTTTGTACATCGTTTCAGTTTTTTTGTATTTGAGCGTCTTTGGAAGAATTCTTCCGAAGGACTCTTTTGACTTTACCAATCAGTTACCTATCCACCTACCAAAACCCATAAAATAAGGGCATTTTATAGGGACTGTACCAAAATAACCCAAATTTTGCAAAATGAAATTCCCAGTAATGGTTAGCAGATCTGCAGTTGAAATGAGGTTGAAGATGCTTTCCCCACCTGACTTATAATTATCACAAGTGAGGGGAGATATACCCAATGATTGTTTTGCTTGCATTGAACCATAGTAACTTGCCTATTCTTTTCTTTCTATTCCCAGTCAGAATCTTTTCTAGATTTTCAGAGGCTGATTAATCAAAATCCTGAATGCATTAAGTGCTTTTCATAATTGTAACCAACATTTGGAAGCCAAAGGAGAGTGAGTTGGGCTCGAGTATTGAAGATTTCTTATATTTCTTCCTTATTTTACAACTTATGATACATCAAGATAAAACAAAAAGAAGAACTTATAAGAAAGGTAAAACTCATCTAACTTAGTCAAATTCGATAAGCTTTAGGCCTAAAATATTACAAAGTGAACAGAAAAGATAATTTCCTATTTTTTCTTGTTGATAGAAACTACTACATTTACAAACGTAGAGAAAGCGAAGAAGTTCATGATTTGGAAAATTTTATTTTTCTGGGTACCAAATGACAAACTTTAAAGAAGACTTCCTCACTGGAATTTATCTTTACAATGATGCACTATTAGCATGAATGGCTTGGATCCCAAAATCATCTCTTCACTACACGTATGGTTGCAAGAATTTTTTGGAATCACCTATAGAATTCCTTCCATAATGCATATGATCCTTCTAGGGGACCACCCAAAGATCCTCCTTGCTTAAACTTTGGACGGTCATTTTTTCAAAAAGGAAAAGAAGCTGATGTGGGAACATTTTATGAGAGCTTTCTGATGGACCGTTTGGCAAGGGAAAAATAGAAGAATCTTTCAAGATAAAAAAACTTACCAACACTAGATTTTTTGAGGCTATAGTTAGTTTAGTTGTGACTTGGGGTAAATGCCCTCCTCTTTTTCATTACTATAGCTTTTCTTCCCTCCTACCTAATTGGAGAATCTTATCCCCCTATTGGCCCCCTTCCTTTTGTAATTTCATACCATCGACGAAAATATTTTTCTAATACAAAAGAAGGTCCCTAAAATTTAAAAAATATCAAATAAGTCCCTAAAATTTCAATTTTGTGTCTAATAGGTTCCAAATATATTCAACATTTTTTAAAACTAACAAATCTTGAATATTGTGTTTAATAGGACATTAAACTTCAATTTTGTGTCCTTTCGAATTAATTAACTATTAGACACAAAATTAAAAGTTTTAAGAACTAATTAGTTACAAAAGTAAGAGTTTATAAATTTATTAAACACTTTTATAAATCCAACAACCCATTGGATATAAAACTGAAAGTTCCGTGACCAATTAGAAACCTTTTAAAGTTCAACAATCTATTTGACATACACTTAAAAAGTTCAAACTATAATTGTAATTAACCTATAAACTAACATATCAATAGCAACTTACATTATTGAAACAATGAACAAGTTATCTAATACATAGAAAAAACAAATCAAGGTCCAAGTCGAGAACAAAGAAGGTTGAATTCAGAAACCTAAAAAACTTGACATTTATAGTTATCATGTATATCAACATATAATTGTTGAGCTAAAGTCTATTCTATTCATAGGGCCAACACAGGTAGGCAACGAGAGCATCTAAGGATAAAATACAATACGCTACTAGTTAACGCACCCTAGTAGACATGAAACTTCAGGAGACAGAGCTTTACTTGTATTAATTTATGGTTTTTTCCCATAAAATTGAGGAAATCGGGGCAAGGGAGGCACTAATAACAATGAGATATAGAATGATTTCCATCAAATGAAACTTTTGATTTTATTCCAACTAGGATAAATATAAATTGAAGGCAATGTAAATGTACCATCATCATCACAGGGTACAGCATTGTCTGGACAATTTCTCGTATGATCCAAAGTACCTTCACAAGAAAATTATACATCATTGCTATTAGATGTAACAGCAAACTAGATTTCTATCAGAAACCAACATATATATGCATTGTCTGGAGTTTCTCTGCATGATCCAACTAATCTCACCAATATTTTGAACTTGTAAGACCAAAATAGTTCTTCAGAGATAACAAAAGCCACCCCACCAGTTTATCCAGTGAGCCAAAAATTCATCTTCATTGATTTTAAATGAAAAAGACAAGAAAAATTCACCAGTTCCAACGGAAGCTTCATCGACTAAATTATGAGAAGACAGCGTAACAGTTGCGGATGAAGTTCGATCCTCTTTCACAATCTTCGCGAAGCTAAAAGATGAAATAGAAATTAAGAAGCGAAAATCGAAGTCGAACCAACCAAATCATCGATAACCGCGAATCCATAATAGGATATCCACTTTAATCAAGAAATTCAGAACAAAGTAAAACTAATACCTAAAAGTCTAGTTAACTTCAAGAATTTGACCTAAGATAACTTGAATGCTAACATTTCGAACAAGAAGTTTACCCAGCTGGAGAAGAGACTTGGTCATGCTGTTTAAGAACCAAAGCTTTAGCCACAATGTCGTCGGCTTTAAGAGAGAAACCTTTAGAAGAGTAAAGAGCAGACAAGTCGGTGAGAGCGGCGGCCAATTGAGGATCTGGATTAGAGTTTTCTGAAGTTTGGAGGTCGGAAACCACCGATTCGAGAAGAGAAATTGCAGCATCAGTGTCACCGGCAGTGACGAGATCCTCCACTGTCTCGCTCCAGTTCGATCGCCGCTGTTTCCGTTCTTCTTCTTTGTCCATCGCTCCGGTCGATAATCAAGCAACCGGGGAAGATGAGGAAGTCGTGCAGAAAGTTTATAAATATCTCAGTCGTATCCGTACACCATGAACTAACCTCTGTGTTCTCTCCCCCTTTGATTATATATAGCTTTTCTAAATACACCAATTTATTAATCAAATGTAAAAACCATTTATGCCCCCATCAGTTTGGTTGAGAAAATCTTTCCACCAATTTAAAATAAAAAAATTTAGTTGATTAAATTGGTAACTCGAGCCACTCGAATAGAGTTCAAAACCCAACCTTGTATTTTTCGGGATGGGTTGTTATTTTCTTTTTTTCAATTATTTAAAAATATATATATTTATATTAATAATTAAAATCTTGTAAAATTCAAATATCAAACATTTACGAGTTCACTGACCTTGGTTACAAACATTAAATATTTTTTATTTTTTTAAAAGTAATATAAGGTTGAATTGGATTGTAATGTAACTTTCGGGTTTGTCGTGTTGACCCTCTCCATTGGTGTGAGGTCTTTTGGGAAGTCCAAAGCAAAACCATGAAATCTTAGGTTCAAAGTAAACAATATCATATTATTGTGGATAGTCGTGTTCATCTAACAGACCCAACTATAAAATATTCAACCTAATTTTTTTCGTTATTACATAAAAAAATCTTTAATATTTTCCAATTTTTAAAAGACACATTTAAATTTTTTATTAAAAAAAACCCAAAAATAAATAACAATTGGGCCTCCAAGTGTAGCAGGCCCACTTGATTGAATTTGGGCTGTGGGCCTCCAAGTGTAGCAGGCCCACTTTATTGAACATGGGCTGGGCCTTGAATTATAGACTGAGTTCTAAATATTATTAGAAGACTTTTTTTTTTTTTTTTTTTT